CGACTTCCAGAATCCCAGGACTGAAGCAGACTCCGAGAGAGCCTTGTTTCCAATCCTCCGCCTTGCTGGCCATGGCTCCTGAGCCATCCCAGAAGAGTGATGGACAAGGACAACAAGGATCAATCACCTGTCCACTAGCCTAGGAAAGCCCCCCACCCTGCCTCTTTTTTTCTCTTCCTGTTGTGCATTATTCTCTCATCTGCCAATCACTGATTTTTTTTTTTTCTCTTTTTTTTGCAGAACCAGGGATTGAACTCAGGCCCTTGTGCTTGCCAGGAAAGCGCTTATTCCACTGAGCCATCTCCCCGGCCCTCTTTGTTTGTTTTTTTTTTTTTTTTTTTTGCGGAACCAGGGATTGAACTCAGGCCCTTGCGCTTGCCAGGAAAGCGCTTATTCCACTGAGCCATTCCCTGCCACCCCCCCTCTTTGTTTTTATCTTGCCCATTTATTTGTCTAAAAGTCACCCAGAATAAATAAATTAGATAAATAAAATTAAAAATAAAAAGAGTCACCCAGATTCAACTCAGATCTCCCCTTGTCCATGAAGTTGGTGGATGACCATCTCTGTGTCCGCTGACATTCATGGCATTTTCTGGCCCTTCAGCAATGTGACATTCAGATATTGGCACATGCAAATCTCACCTGCCTGCCAGGACATGTGGCATGTGGGAGATTTTCATTGTGATTTAGAGGTTCCAGAACCCTACTTGGGCAGGTGTCCTCTTTAGCTGTAGAACACATTTGCTATTTCTTTCAGACCCTCTAGAGAAGGAAGGACAGTGTGTGAGGTCAACTAGTACCATCTGCCACTTAATGACAGGACAGGTCACCTGCAGGAGGAAGAATGAGTGAAAACTGAAAGGGGTCCTATGGGGTCTGAGAAACTAAGAGGGTTCCGGGGGGGTCAGAGGCCTAAGGGCTGCTGACTGGGGACTCAGAAGTCAGGGAGACATGGGTTCTGCTCCTACCTTTCCCTTTTTCAATATTTTGCATGACATTGGACAAGTCACATGACTACTCATCAGTGACACAGGCAACGGCTGAAACCTTCTGTAAGAGCTCTGATGCTGCACGGCCCTCCAGAGCGAAGAAGCCCTGGATGTGACTCTCATCCTGAGTGCACTGGGTCTTTGTGCACTCTCCAGAGGCAGGAGAGAGTAAAGGAGGTACACAAGCTTTGAACTCTGTCATCCTACTTGAGCCTCAGGTTTCCCATGAGAAAAATGGGGATCCCTACTGGTGGGCCTGGTACAGTGCCTAGCATGTTGAAAGGCCCCAGTAAGGGGCAGTTAGGAGCTCCAATTATGTCTCAGAATATCTGTGCCTTCTATAAACAAAGAAGGATGTATGCAAAGCAGAGAATCCAGAGCTGCCGTCCTGGCAGGTCAATTTCCTTCTCTCCGTATTATGGGAGCGCTGCTGACAGAGGCTGTGTGCTAGAATGAATGGAATTTTACTCATTTATTTATTTTGGCAGAACTGGGGATTGAACTCAGGCCCTTGCACTTGCCAGGCAAGTGCTTATTGTACTGAGTTATCTCCCCAGTCCCATGAATGGAATTTTTGGAACCTTCCCAGAAAGAATGTGTGATAGACAGGAACCTGTTATAGGATGAGAATCACCGCGCTGACTGCCCTGACACTCAGCAGCATCAAAGCGTGGCCTGGGCCAAGGCTGCTCCTTCCCAGGCACTGCTATACCTTGGCCATCAAACACAGTGTCCTTTGTCCCTTCTGAGAAGTTGTGAACGGCCACCTCCACCAATGGCACACCAACTCTGCAACAGTTTCCTTTGCATTATCTCACTTAATACCATAACCCCGTGAGGTTGCTATTCTTCTTACAGGTGACAAAGTGAAGCTAAGAATGAGAAACTCTTCAGAAGCCACACAGGTAGAGTAACTGAACTGAGATTTGACCTGCACATTCGTTTAGCTCTAGAACCCAGGCAATGAGACACTGATGTTCTCTCTGAAATGTTTCGATAGGGGCTGGAGAGATGGCTCAGTGGTCTAAAGCACCTACTTAGAACAAGTTTGGCAAGGCATCAGGGACCGCGGTTCACTCCCCCAGCACCACATGCCAGCCAGCCCCGCCCCCTGGTGGGCTGAGTTGGCCACACACACACACTTCTCTCTCTCTCTCTCTCTCTCTCTCAAATAAATAAAAAATAAATAAATAAATGAAATGTTTCGATAGCCATTCTTCAGATGAGAAAGCTCAGGCTCAGAGAGGTGTAATCACTCTCTAGGAAGAGCGATGACTGGGAGTTGGTAGGGCCTAACACTGACCTTGGGGCCATCTGTTCTGGCTCATACCTGCTTCCTGGTAGACTACACTGCCCATCAAGGTAGGCCTGTTGGGCTCCTTTTTACATATGGAGAAGCTGAGCAGTAGAAAAAGCAAGGGCTCAAGGAAGAAGACTTGGCAATGTAGGGGAAATCCCTGAGTGTGGCAGGCGTCTTAGCAGAGGGAGCCCTGAAAGATCTGAGCAGGATGGATCAGCTATGCCTCAGACTGGTCCTCTCCCCAGATTTACTTTCAGGGGAAATTTGAAAGAAATGAATAGCATAAGTATCCCTGAAGGAAGCGAAGCCAGGAATGCAGCCTAAGAGTGAATGTGGGAAGCCCACAGCCCCTCAACATTTTGACCTTGCTAGTTACATATTATAAGCTGCTTCTTTTTCCTGATTTACTGTCCAAGTGTGAATCCCTATGAAGTGGACAAAGCAGAGGACAATGTGGCCAGTACCCAACTTACAATGCCTTGGTGATATGATCCCTGCTTCTACCCCCACAGAATGGTCTGAAGGTCTAGGGGTGGGCTAGAACTAGATTGAGTGTCCAGTGGGGTGCAGAGGGCAGATGTGGGGGAGGAGCTTACCTGGTTCTGGAGAAGTAGAGGAAATGATCCCAGGAAAACTGATAGGATGACACAAAAAGAAAGTAGGGTGAAGGACACCTAGCCATCCAGAGCTGCAGTGGCTTGGGTGGGACAGCTCGCATGAAAGCCAGGGCAACAGTCACATCCGGGGACCCTACATCATTCCCCCAAACTCACCAGGGATGTGGGGTAGGGGTGAGCTAGAACACCTCTCCTTGTGCCCAAGAGACTCAGCAGCAGTGACAGGGCAAAGCCAGGCAGAATGGGGTCTTCCTCAGTGTCCCGTGTAGATCATGGGCACTCTCTGGCAACCACCAATTTTTTTTTTTAAACTACTCTCTTGTTTGGGGCTAAAAGGGTGGCAAGTTTGCACTTGTCCTCCAGCCCTGCACATAATTGGTGGCAGCAGGCAAAGCTACTGCAAGGGGAGGGGTGTTTCAATGGAATGAGAGGGAGAGATCCTTAAGAGCAACAGGGCTGGAAGGGACCTCGGAGATTATCTGACCCAGCCTTTCTGTGGTCTCCAATCCATTCCCAGAACCAGCACGCTCACATCATCATGGTCACCTCTCACATCGCCCAAGGACTCTCATAACCTCCCCACCTCCCCATGCTTTCTCCTGTCCCCTTCCATCCCTAGGTGAATTCACCCTCTTGTCCAGATGAGGAAACTGAGGCCCACTGAGAGGTGACTTGCCAGGGGTCACCTTTACCATTGATAGAACCAGAACAGGGAATGTGAAGCCAGAGTCTCCTACCTTCCCACTCAATCTCTCCAAAAAGAGGAGCTCCGCTCTTCCCCTAGGTAACATGGAGGCTGCTGACAAAGCTGATCCCGGCTGATGCCAATTGCCTATGTCATCTTTAGGGAGATCTTGGCCATGGCCCTTTCCTTCTGAATACCTGGGAGACTGACCTGCCCTTCAGAACATTATCTCTGAATATCTGCAGGGATCTGGTATGATCAGTCTGATCACAGGCCCATAAAAGCCTTCACCCTTCTAGTAAGATCTTTCTTCTTTCCCCTACAGTGTAAGGCAAAAGGGTGTAGAGCTTATGAAGGGGTCACGAGGCAGTGTTGGTAGTTGGGAGACACTGCTCCTTCAACAGCTTGTCTCTACTTCAACATATCCTGGGAACCCTCATAGTTGGAGGGATGAAGGGTTAGACCTAGGCCCACGGCTAGAAGCTATGGGTACAGCCTTGTAGGAGTGTGCTTGCACCTTGTGTCTTGGTGTTCATGCACAACCGCTTGGTTCTGTGGGTTAGCTTTTCGCGAGTGTGTCCACATGTCCACGTCTGTCTGGGAAAGGTGGCTCAGTGGACTTACTTCCAAAATCCTAATTGCCCTGGAGCTGTCAGATTAGCAGGAGAAGATTACTTTCTTCTTAGTCCTCAAAGTGGACTCAAATCTAGATTTGGGATTGAGTCCAGAGGACCGGGTGAGATGAAGGTAAGAGCTGGGAGGACGTGACTTGGCTGGAGTAGGGGGCCATCTGTTTCCAAGTTCTACGTGGTTGTGTCCCGCGTGTAAGGCTGTGTCGTGGGCACACCCGAGTGCCGGTAAAACCCACCTCCGCCGCAGCCTCCCCGACTCCTCGCGCCCTCTTTGTCTCCCAGCAGAGGTGTGCGTGCAAACCTGTGCCGCTCACACCCTCGCGCCCCCGCTCTCCGGGCGGCAGGCAGAGAGGACGAGCCGGAGCTCGGTGTGTTTGGTCTGGAGCCGAGCGAGCGGGGCTTGCATTGATCCATTGATTGTGCGCGGTCTGCGCCTGACCTCCTTGCTCCCGGGGAAGCTGTCTCCATGGAGACCAGGCCCGCTCCCCCAGCGCCGGATTGTAAATTCCTGCAGGCAGCGGCCCGGCAGCTTGGGGAGGGGGCCGCCGCGCCCGGGCGCGCAGAGGGAGCGGCCGCCACGCCGAGGCCCCATTTGAAAGAAGAAAAAAAAGGGGGGGGCACGAAAAAGGAGGTGGTGGAGGAGGAGGCGGGGGAGGAGGAAGAAAACGAAAAGGAACGAGGAGAGGAGGAGAAAGAAGAGGAGGAGGAGAAAGGGGAAGAAAAAGAGTTGGAGCCCGAGAGACCCAGCAAGAGCGAGAGGAAGAAAGAGAGGCAGAAAGGGCGTGTTTCTGCTCCGCGTTTCCCCTCCCCTTTCTCAGGTCCCTCGCTCCGGCTCGGCGCTCTCCGGCTGCAGCTCCCTCCGGCGCAGCTGGGAATCCGGTGGGATTCCGGGCTCGGACTCCCTGCAGCCAGCTGCGCCGGGCACCCCCGGCCTCGTTACGCTCTGAGCTTCGCTCTCCGCGACGTCCGGCTGGGAGCAGCAGGCAGCATCGCAAACCTCCCTCTCAGGGCGCTGCGCGCCCACAGCCCCAGCCCGGCCCCGCTGGGGCGCCTTTCCCCTCCCCCTCCGGCGCACCGGGGGCTCCCGCCGGCTTCCGCCCTCCTGGGGCTTCGAGGCGGCACCGGAGGAGCCGCTGCGCTGGGCTCCAGCCATGGGCTCGGGGCGCGTGCCCGGGCTCTGCCTGCTCGTCCTACTGGTCCACGCCCGCGCCGCCCAGCACAGCAGAGCTGCGCAAGGTAAGGTGGGAGGCTGCTGGGACAGCCGGCCCCTGCCGAGGGGCAGGTGCTGGGAAGCCGGCTGCTGTCAGGACCCAGCTCGGTGTCCCCGGGGTCCCCAGCTGGGGCCCTGACCTCTGGGCGCCGCGCCCAGGGCGCAGAGCTGGAGGAGCGAGCGGCGGAGGGGATGAGTGGGAAGTTTTGGCGGTGTGCAGAAGTGACCATGCACTTCACAACTCCACCAGACTTCACTGCCACCCCCAGCATCTTCGAAAGACTTTTGTCCTCTGAAGTCAGAGGGAATCCTCTTTTCTCTCAGACGTTGCCAGACACTTAAAAGTTGTGGCCTGGAGAGACTTCGGGAATGAAAACTTTTCAGCTGTGCTGTAGATCCCCACCCTGCATGCAAAGTTCAGAGACAGAATTTCCAAGTTGCTGTCTTATCAGTGAAAATGTGTTAAAGAAAAATAGAATCCTTTACGGAAAAACCGACTGGTCTCTCACCGGATGGTAGGGGGCCGAAGAAGAGAAGAAAATTTCTGTGACTGGCTTCTGGCAAGAATGTTGCATTTCTGCCTTTTGGGGGGAAATCTCTTTCGTCTTGCATGGCTTTCATTTCTTATCATAATATTTATTTATTAAGTCCTCGGGTTTCCAATTCCATTTAAATCCAGGTCAGTATTGCATTAAAATAACAAAGTAAAATTCCAGGCTGGAGAGCTCCGACAGATCCCTCTAGGAATTAGAGAGACTGAGAGGCCCTTGCGCCCCAGTCCGTGACCCCTAGCTCATCGCCTGGCCAGGCCCAAGGCTCTACTAGAGGAAACCAGGCTGGTGTCCCACAGTTCTCTGGGGACAGACCCCGTCCCCCTTGACCTCCTGCTGCACCCCTCCCCTAATGGGAGTCCTAACTGAAAAGAGATTCGTATGGACAAAAAGAAAATTCCTCCCACCAAGGTTTTGTTTGGGAGGTTATGATTCTGCCTATTGTCCCCAGGGCTCCTGAAGCCAGCAGGGGTGAGGAGGTGGCAGGACCAAGAGGAAAGTTGAACTTGGGAGTTGAGAAAAGCTGTGTCTGGCAGTAGGGTCGTGGTGTACTGGGGCCTTGAGCACACTTGGCTCTTCAGCTGCTTGGCCCTGGATGGGCTCCATTCTGACTAGGATGGAGCTGCGTCACCACCATCCTCCTCTTCCAAAGCACCACCTCTCCAACGACCCCTCTTCCCTCCAATCTGTCCTTTAACAGAACCACACACTAGAGACCCTCAACTGTCAAATACCAGACCCCTCTCCCTCCCTCTCCGCCTGAAAACTGCCTCTTCTTCAGTCTTGGTTCCAGACAGTCCACAGCTACGCCACCCCTAGCCTGGAGCAGCCCCTCTCCTCACTGTGGATTTGCTTGTGTTTTCATAAACAAAGCTGGCTTTTGTAGTGCGTGCTGACTTACTCATAACATGGAATTAGCTAGGGAGTTTAGTCTGAAGGAACAGATTTCATGCAGTAATCTAAAGACTAGATAAGGGGCTCTTTCAAGTTGGAGCCAGTGTCTGTAGTGGCTAGAGATCCTGGGGGAGGGTGCCCTGGCCAAAGGAGAAGCAGAAGGAGACCCCTAACAGGAGCAGATGCCATCAGGACAAGGCTCTCCAGCCTGGGAGATCGGCCCATCTTCCAGGGACAGGAGGACTCAGAATCCTGGTGGGGTACTCCAGGGCTCCCTCTTTCATGGGATACCCTGTTGGGTCCTGGGGGAAATGCAGCTGGAGGGGAGACCCCTACCCTGGAGGAACTTGTAGGCTGTTTTGTTCACTCATGGGCCACACCTGCTCTGACTGGGCTGCAATTAGTTTGGCATCTTTGTGCCCTCTCTCCCTCCCTCCCTCCTCCTCTCCTTCCCTCCCTCCTTCCTTCCTCCCTTCCTTCCTTCCTATTCCTGAGTCTAGCTTGGCACAGAATGGAAGCCTCTCATTGACCCCTGCTATTCAGGAAATCTATAAACTCTGTCCGCCAGAAGTCGCCTAACAACAGGTTTGTAAATTAGAAAGTGGTCTCTGGACCCAGATTTGCACGCATTACCAAAGGAAGGGCAAGTACTGTTTGGTCAGGGCAGCCTATGGTCCTACCCATAGACAGGGTGCTGTGGGCTTTGGGGAAGCCTCCCTCACCCCTGAACATATCACCCTACACCAGTACTGTCAGTGCCATAAAGTTTGTCTTCAATGCCACATGCTTTTAAACAAAACTCAAGCAGATCTTTAAAATACAAATACCCTTGGCAGTTGTCTTGCATGGAGTTAATGTACCTTTGCGGATATCTGTGTCTTTGTCCCTTTTCATTAGAGATCCACACACCAAGAAAGCCAGAGTCACGTGGAGTGGGGCAGGGGGGCAAGGAGATGATTCCTACCTATGGGTGAAGTGGAGTGTATATGTATGTGTGTGGGTGGGAGTGTGAGGCTCACCACAATCACCCACATGGGACAGAGCTGGGCAGCTGTGGGGACTGCAACTTAAGAGCTGCGCTGTTGTTTCCCCAGTGAGAACTCCAGGGCGGGTCAGCAGTGGGGGGGGGGGTGCTGGTACACGGTTCTGAGTGTTTTTCAAGTGCCTGTCTGTGTATGTTAAGGTAGACAGACTGGATAACCAAGATAATTGTTAACTTAAAAGCATTAATTTGCTTTGCTTTTTCTTGAGGAGAGGGGTGGCCAGCAGTGGTTAAAAAGACCTAATCCTTGCACAGGGCTCAGGTTACAGCTGAATGAAAAGGTCTCAGGCCTCCAGGGGGGGTGAGCTCCCAAGAGAGTCGACTTGGCTGTTTTGTTTACCTGATAATTTTCTCTCTTCTTTGGGGATAGAGCTTTGATAAAGTCAGGTATTTAGATTTTTCAAGTAGCACCATCCCTGGGAGTGAGAGTGTTCATCTGGCAGGGAACAGTGTCTCTCTGTCTCGGTGCGTCTCTCCAGGTCTCTGTCTGGGTGTATGTGTCTCTCTTTCTTTCCCCCACCCCTCTCTTCCTCTTTAATGTGGCTCTTTCCTCTCCTCCCCGCTTCCCTCAGCTCCTGTGGCCAGCTTGTACAGTGAGGGGACTGTTCCTCCTAGCCCCTCCCTCCAAAATATGAAATGAAAACCATAACCGTGTCAGCAGGCGAGGTGGTTGTGCGGGCAGCTGGCTGGTGCCTGTGCCCCTTCCAGGCCATACAGGAGAATGAGAGAGCAGAGGTACTGACCCTGCCTTTGGAGCAATCTTTAACCAGTTCCCCCCAAGCCCTTTTTTCCCAGAAGCAGGCAGACTGCTTAGAAATCCCTCAGGAATCCCTCTGACCTCTCTTTTCTCAGTGACCTGTCTCGGGGGTGGGAGGGCAGGCACAAAAAAAAGTTTATGTCCTCCCCCCCCTTACCTCCTGTCACTTTGAGTCTCTGCGGGGTGGAATGAGAGGGACACTGAGGCAGAAACGCAGCAGGTAGAAGAAGAAAGTCATCAACTGTCCTCAGATGAGATGGTTTGCTGGAACCTTCTGCAATCTGAGAGCATAAGAACCGGTTTGAGATGTGAGCAGCCAGGACCTGTTGTAAAAGGAGCCAGGCCGGGGGTGAGTTTGGGAATGTGAGGTGTGCATTCACTAGGGTGTGTGAGCGTGCATGTTCATGACTCGGGGTGTGTGTATGTGTGCGTACTCTGATGAGACAAGAAAGGAAGTGGGGCAATGTGCATTTTGTTTTAGTTGGAGAGGTAAAGAAGTGGAATGACTTGGGCTAGCGCCTTGCACTGAGGGAGGGGGAGGGGATTGGATGGCTTTCAATCTGACCCTCCAGAGGTGAGGAGCTTGCTGCCTGAACCCACCCGGTTCCAGGCCCCGCATGACCAGGAGTGGGCCTCCTTTGACATCCCATACCCCTAGCGCATGACCACTTATAAGAAAGAGTCCCTGTCAGGCTGGAAGCTGTGGTCTACTCTGAGGCTGGCAGTGCCCACAAGAGGCCCCAACCAGGGGACAGCTTCTTCAGGAGTCTGGAAATAGAAGGCCTGCTGCGCCTCAGGGAAGACAGGCAGCAGCCAACTGAGGGATGTTGGGCGGATGGCCACACTGTTCACCTGGGCTGCACAGGCTGCCCTGTCAGCATACTGACTACTCTTCCCATATGCCCATACACTGCCAGTCTCAGGTGGCACCAGGAGGTTGTGGTGCCAGTGGGTTTTGCCCAATGGAGAGCCCAAGGACTGGGGCCTTGGAGGAGATTACTGAAAGCATCTTCCTCACTTGGAAAATCAGCAGGGCCCCTTGCAGCTGAAGGCAGAAGATGCTGGCTAGCCTCAGGCCTGAGCCAGTCTTCCTGGTTACTCAACCTAAATGCCAGGCCCTTCCCCTGACCCTGCTCCATTTCTGCCTGCTTGAATCTAGATCCCTTGGCTATTTTTCCTTTCTTCCCTCTTCCCAGTTTCCTGGGGCCCAAAATACCTGATAGTTGTGTCCTCGGGTGGGCATTTACAAACAGCCCTAAACCACATATGGGGTGTGTGTGTGTGTGTGTGTGTGTGTACCCAGCAAATCTGTGAATTGGAGCCAAAGTGCCAGTATTGTGGAACTGAGCACTCTCTGGCCCCGTCCCTGCACCCACAGCATGTATTTCCTTGCTCCAAGGCTGGCCATCTGCATTCTGCTGTAGTCTAGAGCTCTCCCATCTTTAGACCGAGGCCCCACTTTGGAGGTGCAGTTGGATGCTGCAGTTCAGCTGCAAGGGAGGGGTCATGGTCTCTGCATCGGTGCTGGGGCCTTTGCTCCTACTACAGTTTTCCCTGTGGCTGTGATCATAGTCCTAAGGAGCTGTTTGGTTTGATTTCAAGAGTCTCATGACAGGGACTGTCTAGGTCTGCTCACTGCTGGTGACAAGCTGAAGAAAGACCTGGAGTGCAGCTGCTGAGATGCAGGAAGATGCAGGACAAGGCAAAAGATTCAAGAAATCCCTGAGTGTAGGCAGGGTATTGGGATGTGTGGGCACTGGGGATAGGGCTGGGAGGAGAGCT